GTGCACTAACACAATACTAATCGAATGGAGGCTTACCTTGGATCACTCACTCATCACCTTTAATCGTGCATGATAAATGACATAACTATTTTTAACATTTTTTGAAATGTACAAAGAAGGGTGACGAAGTAAGACTCCTAACTCTCCTACTCACTCCTCTCCCATTTTGTGTCACATCAAAATGAAATAAGTTTCGGTTTGTTGTGTAAAGGCATTTTCATAAGGCGCTTTAGCGCCACCGTTATGCAATTAAAACTTCTTTTATGCAAGGTGAGAGGAAGAGGTGGAAAGTAAAGGCTTTAACCTTGTCTACGCCTTGTCATTAGGTTTGACATGGAAATTTACATTGTGATAGCTTCTTTGTGCCACAGCAACCCCGTTGTTTGTCCTCTTGAATGGAATAACTGGTTGCGATTTTAAAGGCTTCTAGAATTGGGACAAAGCCAGTTAAATTGAGTTCTCCATTAACCGCCTTATTTAACCACCGTGCAGTGAATGACTCTTGTATGATGCTAGCAATGCTAAATAGAAATGAAGCATCCTAACTTGTTCTCCCCAACACACCAGCATTACGCATAAACTAATGCACATAAATATCCTAAACCCTTCCTTATTATTATAAAAATAATTTTAATTTGCATCTTTTTAACGACCAAGGTTGAAGAGGTAAGAATGTTGGTCATACATTAATCCGCTTGGTAAATGCTTTCATACATCGCTCTTCCTCTCTCGGATCAAAGACTGTGCGATCCGATTTTTTCGCAGTACTTAATAAAGACAAGTACTTATGCGAAGGCATGTCAGCGCCAAGTCAAATGCATTCCGAGCTGAAAATTTACACGTTTTACTCGACCCCGATCTGTGGGCAGAAAGCACCCGATGAACGCACGCACCCACAATCTTTATCAATTTATATTGACTACTTATAAAATTTAAGTAAAGGCTTATTTAAACTTTATCTTATCTGCATTTCTATCTCTGTCGAGCAGAAGAAGAAGCATAAGAAGTCCAAGAAGGAAGGCGATGCCGGGGAAGCGACTGAAGGTGGTGGCGAGAAAAAGGAGGGTAAACGTGCACAGCGTGCCACCTCCAACGTTTTCGGCATGTTCCCTCAGACTCAGATCCAGGAGTTCAAGGAAGTGAGTACTACAAGATGCATGACACAGAACTTCTCGTATCGGCAGATTTGTCACCTGCAAAGGTAAAGGCGAAGAGGAATGCTAGTTTAAGTGAATTTTTTTCCTCACAGGCCTTCACTTTGATCGATCAAAACCGTGATGGTTTCATCGACATTGAGGACTTGAAAGACATGTACGCCTCCTTGGGTCGTGCACCCTCCGACAAGGAGCTGAAGGAGATGCTTGACGAATCACCTGGTCCTCTCAACTTCACAATGTTCATCAATCTCTTTGGCGAGAAACTCAACGGCACTGATCCTGAAAGTGCTCTGTTGAATGCTTTTGCAATGTTCGATGAGGACAATAAAAAGTTCATCCCCGAGGAGTAGTAAGTGATTCGTTAAAATTACGCTGCCAAAATTCATAGAAATTTGCCTTTGACTTTGGTTTTGTTTTGTCCAAACTTAGCTTGAAGGACCTCCTTGAACACATGGGTGATAACTTTACCCAGGAAGAGGTTGGTTGCAATTCAATAGTCTCTTATTTATAGTTTTGCCTCAAATTTTACCTTTGCTCCATTGAAGGTAGCATTTACTTGTTACTTCAGCATGCTAGATGAGGTTTTGATGCCTTTGTGTAGATCCGACAGACGTGGAAAGAGGCTCCCATTCAAGCTGGACAGGTGGACTACGAGAAATTCGTCCACCTCATTAAGCGTGGCAATGAGGAGCTTTAAATTCGTTAATTTTATGCTTACACTAATACCGTACCATCTTTGTGTATCCTAACTCCAAGCATGTGTCTTCCTTCCTTTGTTCAATTTTTTTTGCCTCTGCTCCTCATCTACTTTTCTTCTCTCACTCATTCACTTCTCTCTCCCCATCTCTCAACTTTCTCTCTTCTCCCTGTGTCGAGTGGAACAGATTTTGGTGAAGCGTCGAAAAAGAACACTGCGTAGTCATAATGTATCTCCTTCTTGCCCGATCCGATTGGCCACTATCAGGAGCAGAGAGAGCGGGAAATCACCTAGCGGGTCACCTAGATGCCAGTAGCCTGTTCACATCAGATCGTTGTCAATTCAATGCTATTCTTATGTCAAAGCTTCCTCCACACTGCATGCATGCATAGAGGAAACTGTCATTCCGTTTGATTAGCCAAATGATGGTATTGCTTGGTGTTCTCACCCTTCGCCGCCCTCCACCAATCACTTACAAGCGGCATTTCGTGATGCCCCATCCTATTGGCTAACTTTCAAGGTGACCTTCGCGTTGGCGAATTTCGATTTGTGCACGTGAACAACCTTGACAATTTTGTGCTGTTGACTCTGAGTTCCGTTGAAGTCGCGACATCAGGACGGTGTGAAAGTGTCCAAAGCATAATGACTATCTGATTTCGCTGAGTGCTCTTTTCTCTCTCCTTCTCTGCCCTGAAAAAAGTGGTCTTGACGATTCTATGGCAAGAGTACTTCACTGACTTATCAATGTGCCTTTTTCTTCTCCTAAACCAATTTTCTCTTTCCTATCATCCTTTTACCACGCTGCCTCTAATGTTACTTGCAAATAGATTATTCAGAAAGTGCATCTCCTAGCTTTTTTTGTGTAAATTAAGAGATCGAATTTTTAAACAAGAGTGGGTAATGTTATACATCTTGACGTGGCTTACCTATCGCCTGGGCAACATCACTGCAATCTCAAAGTGCTCTAATTGTGGTAACCCTAGTCCAGGTCACACCTTAACCTCAGGCTTTTGGGTAGTCCTGTTGTAAACGCAAAGGCACCACTTGGACTCTCCCCTCCTCAAAAAGGGGTGGTTCTAGTGCTCCTCCTGGCGTCAAATTCGGGACCAGTTGAATAAAGTAACTGTGCGCTAGTTGGAATGACCTGATGGGGCCATTTGGTTGAGGTGTCGGCATGACTACGAACAGCGTAGGATCTATGACACAATTTTGGTACCTCAACTCCTCTACTCCCTTTTTCTCGGTGCGGAGGAGAGAAATTCTTTGTGGAAATGTGTTGATGCAGCATTCCGAGACTTTCCACTCGATAAGAGAAGGCATTAAGAAGGGCTCAAAAAACATGCGTATTTGTATGGCGAAGTAGAAGGAATTGGGCTTTGGTGTTGCCCCGCTCTTATTTTTAAGCACTGCTTGGAAGTACTCACGAGCGGTTACGCAATTTACCAGCTACCTTGAGACCGAGGAATTGTGCTTGGCCTTCTCAGCAGTTTCATTTGGATCAGCAGCAGTGGCATTCGACCTCATTGCTAGCATTTGGTCATCAATTGTGCCCAAAGTTAGATGTCGAAATGCTGATGTAAAACAAATGCTTAACACGGAAAGTGAGATTAAACACACTTCTTTGTGGAAAGCGCAACGCAATTGTCGTCAATTTGTGCGCAAAATGCGGTAAGGGAGGCTCTAAACACAACTTTTTTAGATGATGGTGTTGGTGTTGGTCTAATTCTTAGCGACTTGCATGTGGAACACGGGGGAAGGGACAGAGACGCACACAGACATCGTTCTCAACCCTTCCGGAGTGAAGGATTTGGCGAATCGCATGCCTTAACAAAAAAAAAATGCATCCGCCCCCTTTTGCAATGCAGAAACACGGTGGTCACGAATACGGCAGTCAACAGTAAAGCCGTCTCAAGACTTTCTGTGGAATAGCAGAAGACATTAAATAAGATTAAAGTGCATGTAATAAAGGAGAAAAAGAGGCGTTCAAGCCTTGACTTGGCCCAAAGCCCAGCCCACGCAAATGAGGTCGAGGTAAAATGTTAAAGCGACCTCCACTCCCACAGACAAACAATTAGGCCCAGGCGATACGGTTGAAGCCCAAAAACTGTGCGTCCTCTTTGCACAGTCTAAGCAAAGGCGTGTTTTAAGGTTCTTCAGCGTGACTTGTTCTGCACATCCTTGCTTCAGTGTGACAACGCCTCCCACTTTTTAGTGGGTGGATCATGTGAAAGTGAGCACAGACTCTTTTATTGCCATATAAAGGCACGTTGACTCAGTAATCGGGTGTGTTAACAGGCCCTGGAGGCAAGAGTAAACAAATTTTAAGTCATGAAGTTTTATAATAGAGCCGATTCAGATAAATGTATGTCAAATTCAAAGATGCTGTGCGATACTACTTATAAAGGATCAGCGTCCTTAAAAAATTATTTTATACCACCCTAACCCACTCATCAGGTGACTTGGACTCTTCGGAGTGGAATTTAAACAGATGGCTGAGTAGGCTAAAATAATGTCCAATTTCCAAAATTGTGCTTGGTACTACTGATGAAAGAGTGCAGTCGCTAAGGCTTAATCATACGTGTGTCGGTTGTAACTAAACCACTTTCATTAAGTGACACAACAATTTTCAAGACAAAATTGTGCAAATACTCAGCCACGAGCTTGTAATTAGCTTATGTGGACGAAATTACAGCCAATTTTAGACGAAGTTAGATACTACTTATTGGAGGTCAGCACCTCTCAAACTTATTTACTTAGGTGTACTTTAAAACAGACTTATTTGGCTGTTTGCTAAGTCCTAAATCAAAATCACAATAGCTGTCCTGCCCTCCATGCACAAATACCACACTTGTCGAGTGCGATACTACTGACAAAACATCAGCAACTTTCGGCTCTTATGTATCAACAGCAATTATTGCGAGTTATCGCCGTCTGTGCCATCGTAAACTATCTTCATGCTGACATCGTTTCGTCATGATGGTGCAATGCAAGGCAAATATGTGATCTGATGTGAGGCCTCATCAACAGCACTGATAGGTCACTAGGTGGGTGGATAGTCAGGTTGTTGCATTGCCAGAAGACTGTAAATTATTCCACGTTTGGCATACGTTATCCTGCCACTAATTTGCCCCTCTCTCCATGTCAAGAAACAAGTTTACAATCCAAAGACCATTGAGAGGTAAGAGTGATGATATAATCGATGAAAATATCAAATGTATGAATGTAAAACTTTTACCATAGCAACAGGATGAACACAAGGGCCAGATTGTGTGTGCATGTGCGATTGGGAAATAGCTAGTGGGATTCGTTTTTGAGGGTTTTATTTTGCAAGAGGAGTACAATAAAGGGAGTGCCTGTCTTCTGCGCCTACTCCACTGCTGTAAATAGGCGACTAAGCCGAGCTGGCATAGTTCTGTCGTATTCCATGGATGGCATCACGCTGTGCACTACCAGCCGTACTCCCGAGCACATGAGGTGTGGCATCTGAGCGGCGGCTTGTGGATTTTCGCTGGGAATGAAAGTACTCTTGTTGTCTTGTGGCAGGAGGATAATTTCGTGATGTGCCTCATTTCTGGCCTCGAGGCTGAGAAAGTCCACCTTCTCCAGATAGTGCAATAAAATGTCACGATCTAGCGGACAAGTGACATCAAACACCCTCGTGGCGTAGACAGCCTTCAGGTACGACCAGAGGTAAGTAAACTCGTTGGGAATGTCAAGTCCACGAAAGAAGGACGCGGCGATACGCACGTGATGCAATTTGCAGGTGAGCACACAATCGGAGTAGGAGAAGGTGTTACCCTCCAAAAATGTGGTTTTCATCTGTGTAAAACAAAGCGAAAGTCATTAAAAAAGAACCCTCTTTGTTCACACGATGTGAGAAAGGGCTCATATCAGTCTACCTATTGTTATTGTAAGCAAACAATCAATTATGGGGATAAGTAATTTCCACCCTAATGCAAGGAGTAAATTTAAATGAAGACTGTCAAGTGACAACCTGCCAAACTCACTTTTAGGAGGTGATCATTTACAGCAGAGAGATTGGCCAGCACTTGTTGTGAGGATCCTGTGCGCAAGAAGTGATTGAGACTTCGTAACAGGTCTGCCCCAATCCACTGTTCTTCAGCATCAATGTTCATCTCGGAGCTGTACTTGGACCTGATGAACTCCTCCAATTCGTCATTTCCTGCAAGCACGTAGTCTGGTGTATCCAATGCATTTTCATCGTCACTGGGAGTGCTGTAGAATGCAATGGCTGGCAATTGCTTCCCCATGTCAAGTCGACTGTATTCGTTGGGTGGATTGGCCATAGAGACGGGAATAACTCGTAGATTGATCAAATGTCGCTCCACAAACATGTAGAACACCATAAACCATTTCTGAGAAAAGGGACATGCACCCTTATCACCAAGATCAACGGTTGAGGCTTTCACAAACAACTCCACCATAGGCTGCTTCATGGCGAATTTGAGAATGTCTCCTTAGCACAAATGTTTTGACTTATATAAGGCGTTCCATCGTGCTTGAATCTGATTGGCTACCTCGAGGTCGCGAGCTCATTCGCTAGCGGTGGTTGAGCTTGGATCGTAGGATGGATGAAACAACCGAGGCATTCAACTAACATCCTTTATTAAACACCCACTCAAAATTCACAGTGAAATCAGTTTTAAGTTTGTATTTTTTTCACTGTCTGCAACAAAAGCAGTAGGCTGTCTGATTTCAAGGACTGTTGAAAAATTTGGTCCGGAGGATCCTAAAAAGGTGAAAAAAAATGTGGACTGTGCAGTTAAATAATTATTACTAGTTCATTAACATGGTACTGATGAAGACTTTACCCAAGGACATAACGTCGTGCATCCCACAGGATCTCAGAGGGAGACTTGGTCTCATTTTCCTTGTGAAGCCCTTGCCCAATCCAGTTCCAATGCTCCAGAATCAACTCAAGCACCTTCCACATCCGAAAATGACAAAAAAATACACAATTTAAATGAAGTAGAAGTGACAATTTCCTATAGTATGTGTACAAATACAAACTAAGGTTGATCGCGTTTGGCACTGTTAGACAACCTTGCTGCAGTGAGCTTCAATGCCAAAAAGGCAGGGTGTGAGGCAGATTGCGAACGACTCATAGGTCATGCTCTTGGCTTCTTGAGCCTGAAGGACATGCTGTAAGTGATTCATTACGAAGTGCAGTGTTGCCAAACGGCATTGCGCCTCCGACAACTGATCTCCACTCCTCTTCTCAACGTTTTCTTGTGTCTACAGGGCAAAATTCGTGGTGGAGCAACTGACGCCACACCGTTGCACCAAACAACACTTCTGAGGGCACGAGGAGGCGAAATTGGGAAAAGATCTGTGTTATTAACTTTCATGCTTGAACAAGTGGTGCAGTGACTGCAACCCGTCTAGACAATGTGACCTCTACGCCCCCTCAGTGTGTGTGGCCAAAGCAGGCAGACCGACGTGATATAATACATCAAAAAAAAAGTACAGGCTTAAGATTTTTTGCTGTTAGTCTCCAAAATTTTATTCGGTCTCTAATCATCCTGGTTGTAGTATTGTGAATAACAATTCTCAATCCAACACCGAAAGTGTCACCTACCAGGTCAATGGCCTTCTCAATCGTAGCTCTGATTTGGCAGAGAATTTCTGGTAATTTCATGGGATTTATAAGGTCTTCACTAGATATGGACTCCACAGTCGAATCCCACGTACCTAAATTAATTCATTGCACTTCTGATCTCCTCATCTGTTGAAATTTAATTTGGAAATTAACATACCGCAGTCAAGAAGTTTCTGAGGCAGGGCCATGAGATACCTTTTGATCAGGGAGGTTAACACCGAGCTGTTGTCCAAGTCACGAAGTTTGAACAGTTTCTCAATATCATCAGGCCGCTACAAATAAGAAGGTTTAAGAAAAAACACATAAAAATTCATTACAATTAACTTATTTTTTACCCTTTGCTTTGGATGCTAATTTGTTGTAAAATTGGCAAGTGCTACTAACTACGAATTCAGCAACAAATGGATTTTACTTCAGACAAGGTGATTAGGGCAATTATACTAGGTGAAAGAGTAAGTTTGCTACCAAAATGGCCTCATATGCATTTTAATAAAATAACTAAGATTATCTCCACCACTATTTGAACCTGACCTAAAGGGGTTTCGTGTAGTATCCTTAAAGAAACAATGTTAGCTCACCTCTTTTATAAAGTCAATTGCCTCCTTGATTGATGAATTGCGGCCTGGCACGCGATAGAGGCCAAAGGCACCCAAACCGGTGGCTTCAAGTGCACTCACAAGCAAGTCCAAAAGACGAGGTACGCCCTGAAGAAAATACAATTTCTACTAATTTTTTAACAGTAGCAAAACTTTAAAGGAAAAATTCGCGACATTTATTGTGAAGCACTTGACGTGACCGCTTGTTTTGCATTACAGGTGCTGGCTATGCAAATAATTATTGTGTAGATATATTTTGGGCATTAAAAATTAATAAGTCGCCTTACGGGATGCTCCGTAGACTGAGGCTGAGAAGACAACTCTGCTCCATAGACTGGTCCAAATTCACTCTTTCTATTATTGTAAACTGTTTTGACTCTACCTAAAGCATGTAACGACAACGCATTGTTAAGAGGCACAAATGTAAAAATTGACTATAGGGCGTGGACTCACCACCACCATAGGCAATCTCAGCATCTCCACAAGAGTGTCTACGAAAGGCACAGCGTTTTTTCAACCTCTGAAAAGAGTCGCTCAATCTGCTTTGCATCATCGCACTCAAGTGCTTGCCTATGTGTCAAATTTTCAAATGTCTCACAAGTCAAACAACCTCATTGATCGGTGTTAAGAAGATCAGCTGTTTGTTTTTTCGTCCTTTTGATCAAAGGTTCAGTGCGTTTTGGTTAAAAAAATTAAAGGTTCAAGTTTACTTTATGTCAATCTTAATTGCTCCCTTGTGCCATCTGCTTGTGCGCTTCTGATTGCGAGGGTTTATGTGGCCGCGGTAGTTTAAAGTGTGACTACTGTCACCTGTCGCGCGGAGGGAGGAGGGGGGGGGGGAAGGTGGTGTAAAAATCCACCCTTCTTTTGTACCCGGAAATGATTAATACTGCATTTCTAATCTTTCCACCCAACTTTTGTGCTTTAATTTCGAGAAGAGGTGAACTGCATCCTCGTGATTGTCACAGTAAAATGTATGCATGCACAATACACGCAGAGGAAATGGCCTGCCCAGTGTTGCTTCCTTTGGAGAATGCGTGTCTGTAAACGCTTGCCCAAATCCACACCGGTGACACGCGAGTCCTCCGGACACGTGGTGAACTGACGCGCCGTGACGAGGTCGCTCCAACCGAGCTTAATAGGCGGGCGTTAAAGAAAGTTTGACGTTTGGACACTTCCAGTGACGAGGCTATTTAGAGGTCAGCCAAGAGACTCAAATGTTGGCCCGCCTTGGTAGTGCACTTTAACAAGGCTATAACAAACACTGAATTTAAAGGTATTTTAAAATCTTGCCATTTTGAAAGCCCTTTGATGATTAAAATCATAAAAAAATTTGCGATTTCCGACCGCCTGAAGGGATATAAAATAGGGCCTGAACAATAAATGTGAATGGAGTGGTGAATGCGGGTGGAGTATTGCCAGGGTGATCCAAGGTGAAGCAAAAAAAAATTGGAGACAAAGCTGCTAAGTCGTTTGATGATTGGTTGCCTACGGTGAGGCAATGGCATCACCTCTCGCCTCTCTCCACTGACGCCGGTGTAATCCCTTTGTGGAGTTAATAATTAGGTAGAAATGAAGATGATGTATTGCTGTTGCAACATGTCAATTGTCTTAACAAGTGGTGCCAAGTTGTAGAGTGTTTTTTATTGTCTTTTTTTTTTGACGATGGAAGAGGTGGGATAACTTGTAGAAGTGATGTGACCTTCAGTGGGCTTCTTGGGGATGTTAAGCGAGATTTGAGGTGTTGGCAGTGGTGGTGGTTGGAGGGGTCCGATTCTGAGCTCCTTTCTATAAAATCGAGACCCTTCCAAAATGTTGCATTGACGTGCCGACGACGTGGTCTGAGTGGAGCCAGCACGTGAATGCTAGCGACATCTCAACGTGGACTTCCTCTCCAGGCCACGTGAGGAGGAGGAGGAGGAGGAGGAGGAGTGGGGGGTGTGCGTGGCGGTCCGGTGTTGGACGGTCAGTGGCCACGCCCCTCGCCTCGTTGTCGGCCTCTCGCGACGTCACTCCCATTGCAGTCGGTCACAATGGCCGCCTCTCTCGATCCCTGCAAAAAATGCATCATTAAATTCACATCAAATCAACTTTCCGCTCCCTTCATTGTTTCCACCTCACAATTACCGATTGTTTACAACACTATTTACTACATCAATTGATGCAAAAAAAAATAATTAATAAATAAATTCCGAGTCACGTATACACGATGGTGGTGATAAAGTGGCTTGGAAGTGTCCAGACATCAACACAACACAATGCAATCAACTTTTTTGTAACTTCATCTGTGTCCTGCTCTTTTTTGTACCTTTTTTTCCCCCTTTTATTTGTTATGGTGATGGCTTTGCATTAGTTTGCCTCTCTCTCATACATCGGCGGAGGCATTTCGGTCGATGCAAGCGCCGGATCAAACAATTTCATTGTTTGGATTCACCTTTAGCATGTTTGGCCCAAGAATGTATTTTTAAACACTTTAAATTGTATTTTAAGTGTGGAAAAATTAATGTTGATGAAGGATTTGCTGGCCATGGAGACAAAAAGAAGGCCCCATGGTGAGACTGCGACACAATCCTGAAGCAGATACGACACTCAACCGGTGTCACTCCCCCCAACCCCACCCGCATCGCCACGAAATTGTAACTGGGCTGGACGAAAGGAGGCGGGTGTGGAGGCGAGGGGGTGGAAGAGGCGGTGAGACAGCACCCTACGACCAACCCCTTTGGGGTCATTAAATATGCACGCAGATGAGGCGATGCTTCACCTTGAATGCGCCACTTCGTCTTAACATTTTCTACCAAATCTACCTCACCTCACCCAAAAACAAAATCAAAGCACCAAACACAGCATTTTACACCTCTACCGAGGCCAAAGTAGACACCGATTTTCTCAACAAGTGATTCTTTATAATCACATTTGCATTTCATTGGCGTTGAATGGTGAGATTGGAGGACTTTTCGGATGCCAAGCAGAGAGCACAAAACTTACGTCTCCAGCCTAGTAAAGGTCTTGCAAGGTGCTGGCATTGGCCTTGGCAGTCCAAAAAAACAAAGATTGTAGGTGTGAAGGTGGTTGAGAAACGCGCAATCCCTCCACACGATGTCAATTGTAGTCAGTGTCGGATTTTTTGGGAGACATGTAAACACCCTGAAGGCTTTCCAAGTTGAAGTGAGTCTACTCAGACCAATTTATACCGTCACAGCATCTCGACGTCTCGCAGTCAACTCACAGAAATATGTCGTCT